TCCCATGGCTTTGTGGCTGGTGGGGAATGCTGTGACTGTAGCTGAGCCAAAGCCCATTGATGCCACAGGGTACCCAGCCCAGAGACAGGGCACTCACCTCCCCTGAAAGGTATCACCAAGCACTGTCCCAGGAGAAAATTCATCATACTCCTGAAAAAAAATAAGGAAACTTCCAAATGCAAGTAGCAAATCCCACACATTTACAGGAATGATTTTGCTGTATGTGCTTTCTTCTGGATGCATGAGAAAGTTTGTGTGTGTGAACTGGCACCTGTGTGATGTGAGTCAGCTGAATGTGGCCTGTATTTAGCATTATATTTAGCTTTGGGATGTATTCCCTTGCTACAGCAATGAGGAGTATTTCAGAGATAACGTATATATATAAAGAAGATGAATACAGATTTAAGAGCATAACTTGCTGACAGTTAGATTGGCTCATCTTTTTGTTTCTCTTTAATAAATGACACCTTGTGTGCATAATCTATGCACAACTTTCTCTTCATTTCTTTGGAGTCAGACTCACACTTTGGGTAGAAACTATTATTATATGGTCACGTCTCTTGTAAACCTGTGGATTCAGAAGCTGCCAAAATAATCTGTTAATTTCTGCTGTCCATTTGTTGGGTTTTGCCTAAGGAAGTTTTTTTGCAGAAATAAATGCTACTTGAATTTAAGCAAAATATTTTTGTCTGCCCTGTGCTCTGCCTGGGTGTACAGGGCTCCAGGCAGTTGAGAGTGCTCTTTCTGAAAGTGTTTTAATAGTAAGAGAGGAATAAGTATTTGGACAAGTGGTGGAAAACTAAAGCCTTTCTTTCTATACTGTGAAGATTTTGAATAGTACTTGTCAATAAAGCAACTCCTATTGTAATCGTACCGGAGACATGGGCCTCCACCCCGAAAAAGCTGTCTCAGAGATACTAACCTCATTAAAATATGAATGAAAAGGCAGCCATCATTGTAATAGGAGAAAACCATTTACTCGGCAACAAACTTTATCTGCTATCTTTTGCAAAAATAGAAATATGATATGCAGCAGATTTTTCATTACGTTTGATGAGGAGGTTGATGAACATTTTTTTCCCCCTCCCCAAGTTTTCGAATAAATCACAAAATCTGATCCTTTCCTCTCTGCTTTTTCTACAGAGCATTTCAAAATTGGAAGCACCTTCAAATCATTCAAAATCTTTAAAAAGGAAAAAAAAGAGAGGGGTTTATTTCTTTTTTGTTTCTTTTTCCTTTTTTTTTTTTTTAAGGTTGAAGGAAATTTTCATGTTTATTTCTGTGGGCTTTTTTTTTTCCAGAATATCTCATCCAATTTCAAAACAAAACAAGAGAATTCATTACAGACTACTGTGACGACACCTTAATAACAGTCAATTATAGGGTGCTCAAATGCCTGTTCATTACTATGTCTCTGTTAATCTAGTCCTAAATTTCTTGCTTGATAGATACCACAAGCAGCCAAGAATACAATTGCATTACAAAGTGCAATGAAAAATATACAAAATGTAACTGCAGGAAGTAGGCAGTTTCAAAATAACCAAGCTGTCAATCAAACATTTGTCAAAACAATTGGACATAGCTGGTAATTTTAAAAATAAAATATAAGCAGACTCAGAATGGATACTATGTGAAGCTTTAGGTTTAAAGAGGAATTGTTTCAAAGACTTGGAAATAAGTCTTTAAAAATGTTTCATGTAGTTTAATCATTATCTTTTCATCCACAAAAGTGTTCAAATCATTTTTGATATTAGTTAAAAGTCAATATTTAGAAGTGAAAATTCAAACCTCCTTTGCTCTAGGCTAAAACAGGAGCAACATGAATGCTGAGCTACTCTAAAGGCTGATGGGATATATAATTAGCTATTATGTTAATTGAATCCACTGTGAGTTTGTTGTATGAGATTTCTTCATATAATATGCAAATAGCTTCTAAGGTTTAGTTTTATTAGACAATATAATTAGAAATCTTCTAAAGGAGTGAATTCTAATGAGGCATAATAAAGCTCTGTAAAATATGTTTGTTGGGTGAGCAGACCACCTGGGCTTAATCAATACTGGAACTTTATTGTGTAACAGCATATTTTAAAGTTTAAGAATTTACCTCTCTAGTTCCATTCATCACAGTTTTATTTTAGGAGAAGGAGAGTTCATTTTAGCAAGGAAGGAAGTGAAATCCCTGTGATAAGAAAGGAGGTGAAATTCTAGTAATCTGACGGGAGGAAATACCTTCAAAAAATAAACAACTGCAATTCTGCTTATTTAAAAGAAAATAAAAATAAATGTACAAAGAGCCCTCTCCCAGCTGTAGCCTCAGTTTTGTGCATCAAGAGAAGCTCAAAGTGAGCCGTTACATGAGCAAAGTTGGCCATTATTCCTGCCACTAAATGCCTGCTTCAAGCAGATGTACATACTTTAGCTTCTGTAGTGTAACTAATCAGCGTAACTTCACTTTTACTAAGATAGCCCAACATGTTAATATGTGGAATTAAGCACTTTCTTCTAAAGGAAGAAATTCACACCAGGGTATTCTAGAGCCGGTCCTGAATTCCACCCTCACATTCCACTTGCTTTAAGACCACCACCAAAGACAAAGCTTAAACTATTTTAGCTAATGCCAGAATGCCAAAAATGTGTAATCTCTGGTCTAATTTGCCTTGTTCACACTTCAGACTGTGCCAAAGCTGCACTATTCAGCCTTATTATTAATTGAAAATACTAGAGACAGGATACTTAGTGCTAGCACAGCATTCAGAGAAGGGCATTTTTATTCCCCCTGTCGACAATGATCAGTAGCAACATGTTAGGAAAGAACCAGAAACTCCGATTAAAACAGTAAATTAAACCAAACCAAACCCCCCACATTTATCATGGCAAGTGCCCTGCCAGCCCCACAGGGGAGGAGAGGCAGAAGGGGACCCACACTAAAGTCAGGCAAGGTGTCTGTCCAGCCAGGCTTTAGCTAACTTGAAAATGTTGCATTTCTTTGTGCCATACCTGAATACCTGTGGCTCTACGCTTCACAGAAATGCTCTCTGCAATGCCAAAAATCCAGGAAACCCATGCTTTATAATGGCAGTCTTGTGAATGTAATATAAATTTAGCATGCCTTGTTTAGTAAAAAACTGTTGTACCCTGGTCTGGGTGGAGACCCGGCTGGAACAAGTGCTGTTCATTAACACTTCTCTGATCTGTGCACTTCAGATCTGCAGCAGCAAGTGCTTGTTCTTCTGAATAATGAGGATCTCAGCACAGCAGAAAAGGATGACATTGTATGCATCATTTTCAGCTGAAAAAAAAATAAAAATAATAATCACAGGTTTTATTTTCCCAAGTTCTGCTCTAAGCTGTTAAGAAGTTATTTGTGATCTCTCAAAAACTGCCCCCTCCCCACCAACACTTCAAGAAACAAATAATCAGTCAAAGCCAACCTTCCTCCTCAAATGTGAACTTTATTCACACTCCAGTCTTTTTATTTCTACCTTAGATTCAAAGCGTCTGGAGAAGATAGCCTGGAGCAGCCTTCAGAAATCAGGACCATGCCCTGGAGAATTAGTGTCAGAAGAGGATGTTACCTGTTTGCCTTCCCTGCTATCCTCATCTTATCCCCTAAGGGAACAAAACCAGGCGGATTCTGTCTAATGTTAATTAAATCACTCTGTTAATTAGAAGTAAGGTGCTTTAGCAACAAGCAAACAAAAGCCCTATTCTTCCCCCTCTGCAGGATGGACTCAAATGTGCTCAAACACACTGTCTGGATAAACTCAGAAAACAAAAAGAGGCTGAGGAGGAACCTATGTACTTTGATCAGCCTTTCCCACCTCTTC